AAAAAAAAAAAAAAGAGTATGGGGGGAAAGAAAGAGTCGCCACTGAATAGCAGTCAGCTTGTCTAGATGGGTCTGGTGAAAAGAGATGGGAATACAACTCAATAGTGAATAATTGTTATCATGACTAATTGCGACTGTCACAATTATATAGGTAGAAGTTTTGTAACAAAACAAGGGGTGTGGTTAATCTTACAGTCCAGAAACAGGATTCTAGGACCATTAAGAGAGAAGTGCACAGCAGAATGCGGGACCTTATCCAGAGAAGCAGCAGCACCAGAGATGGGGGTATGGAGAGGGGGAGTGGCTAAGGAGTCTAGATTCATGGACTAAGAAGAGAGGGACTAAGAGCTGGTAGCCAGGAGGTAGACTTGCAGACTGTGCCCTTTGGAGTTGTAAATTATTATATATGCCTCAGTAGAGTTTTTTTGTTTGTTTGTTTGTTTGTTTTTTAAAAAGCTAAAGTGGATAGAAATACTGTTAACTGATGGTACATGGAGGGGATTATAATCATTGTAATGAAACAAGGTGTATCATTTGTTGAATGTAAAACTGATGTTACGCCTTGTAAACTTTCACTCAATCCACAATAAAAACCTTAAATAAAAAATTAAAATTAAAAAATACAGGCTGCGCAGTGAAAATATGCTATTAAACAAACAAACAAACAAAAATCACATAACATTAAGTAAAACTCATCATGCATGGTGCTGTAGAATAAACAGTGAATTGGTAACCACAAGGTTCGCAGTTCAAACTTACTATATGGATTGTTTTGAATCAAAACTGACTTGATGGCACACAACAACAAGCAAAACTAGAAGAGCAAATGGCACGTCACAGAGTTGGTCTCTGGGTCATTGGTTTATTGATGCAGACAGTCTGAGGAAACATGGGAGTCCTTCATAGACTCTGACTAGAGTTGCTTGACAAACTTTCAAAACCCAAATACTTTCTATATAAACTAAAATTACATGAAGAAACAAGGATGACTGAACTCATGATGGGCACATAGTTGCCAAGACATAATGCCCAGAAAGCCACAAGACTTGTCTTTAGTCTAGTAACTGTCCTTTACTACCTTACAGGATTGTTTGCAAGGCAACATGAGAATGCCAAGACTGGCATCAAATAAAGAAAAATATTTTATATTATCCTCTATGGACCAACATTAAACTTAGTTGATCAACCATTAAGGATGCTGTTGTTGTTGTTAGGTACCATCAAGTCGGTACCGACTCATAGCAACCTTATGCACAACAGAACAAAACACTGCCTGATCCTGGGCCAATCTCACTACTGTTGCCACACTTGAGTCCATGGACGCTGCCACTTGGCCAATCCATCTCGTTGGGGTCTTCCTCTTTTTCTCTGACCCTCCACCTTACCAAACATGATATCCTTTTCCAGCGACTGGTCCCTCCTGACAATATGTCCGAAATATGAGAGACGAAGTTTGTCCATCTTGGCCTCTAAGGAGCACTCTGGCTGCACTTCTTCCAAAACAGATCTATTGGTTCTTTTGGCAGCCCGTGGCAGTTTCAATATTCTCCTCCAACACCCTAACTCAAAAGCTTCAATTCTTCTATGGTCTTCCTTATTCACTGTCCAGCGTTCGCACGCAATGAGGCTATTGAAAGTATCATGGCTTGAGTAAGGCACACCTTAGTCCTCAAGATGACATCTTTGACACTTTAAAAAGGTCTTGTGCAGCACATGTGCCTAATGCAATACGTGGTTTGATTTCTTGACTGCTGCTTCCATGAGTGTTGATAGTTGATCCAAGAAGAATGAAGTCCTATCTTTTCTACATTGATAAGAATGTTGTTGATTGGTCTAGTGGTGAGGATTCACTTTCAGCAAGCAAAGTTGCATCATCTGCGTATCGCAGGTTGTTAATGAGTCTTCCTCCAATCCCGATGCCATGTTTTTCTTCATATAACCCAGCTTCTCAGATTATTTACTCAGCATACAGGTTGAACAAATATGGTGAAAGAATACAACCTTGTCGCACACCTTTCACTAAATAACATTCAAGTCCATTCTGTTGCTTGTTACAAGAGCACTGTTTATAGTACAGGAAAAATGGGTGCTACATGGTAGATTTATACCAAAATATATATTAATATCTTTTCAGCAGCATTCTGAAAATGTATAAAACATATTGGCAACATATTGAAAACTGTTTTTTGAAACAAACAAACAAACAAAAAACCCTCCCAAACTAAATGTAAACCGTATTACTATTATGTCAAAACTCAGTGGTATCATAAGGGAGGTGTGTGGGATAAGGGTCATACCAGGTAGGACTGTCAGAGGGTGTGATACCAAAATGGCTATATATAAAATTTTTGTGCAATATTTCAGCAATAACACATTATTTTCAATGAAAATATCCCTGTAGTTAATTAAAACAACAAAAGCATTTTTTTTTAAGCCCAACTTACATGTATTAGTAGATCTACAAAAATAAAACGTTAAGCTATTATGTACTTTTGGAACATTCTAATGTGCTCCAGTCAGAGCTGTCACACTACCCAATTACAATGACGTTTCAAATTATGTGGTTTTGTCTGCATGCATTGTTTACATGACCAATGGTGTTTTTATACTCACAAATTTTGTCAATTTCCCCCAATTTTAGCTCTAGTATTGTGGTAATTAGTATTGGTGAACCTATTAGGAACCTATTGGGAGAATAAATGGTAGCTAAAGGAAAAGAAGGAAAAAAAATCAAAAGGCTTCTGGCTCAGTTAATAATATTATAATTCAATGTACAAAGATTTTACAAAATAATTTTGCTCTTAGTATTCATTTTACTCTAAGAAAAATTACATTTAAGCAAGTTATAACTATATTTGTCACATATTAGTCTATAGTCAAAATTGATAAGATTACTAAGGCTTCTGTGTGATCTGGTATGGGAAGTCCTCCATTAAGAATGAGGGGTGTGACACACTGGGTGTCATCAAACCTAGTGATCCTCTGTCAAAACAAATACTAAGTCAGCAAATTCCTATTAATTTTAGACACAGTTCATCCTAACCAAGATTATGCCTGGGACCAGGTCAAGGATTCTGCACATCATTCTCTGTAAACACATAAAAAAGCTGCCTGGACCTCAATACAAATGAGCTTGTGTTACCTCTCCCCGATCATCTGTGCTGTGTGCAAAGTCCATGATCCGGTCTACCTCCACATAATCTGGATTAAAGAGCTCATCCTCAATCTGCACCAAAAGGAGAGGGAAAAATGGTAAAATGCTCATTTATTTCCTGAGAGTAAATACCACTTCACGATTTACCAGGCAATAATATTTTAGGTCACAGCAATATAAATTTATATTTGAAAAAGTTATAATATATTAATTCAAATGATACAATTTAGAAAATCATTCCTCATGAGGAAATCAGACTTCTCAGACTTTGTTAACTGGGTTTTTTAATTACTGTGTGAAACCTTTTACTGTGAGAGAATGTTTAAGAATATTTTAAATGAAGTGTGAAATTACAATTCACTAATGAGCAATCCAAAAGGCTTATGGCATGCAGTGCATTTAGCATTCTCAAAACTACAGCTTGTAATAAGGAATTAGAGACATGCACACTAAGAGCTACAGGAGCCTCATAACCACCGGAGTTGTTGGATGTTTTATAGCATCATTTCCAGAATGGTATTCAAAAGCTAAAATTACCGATAATATCAGATTTCGTATTTTAGTGTTAATAGTCTATAATGTTTGGTCTTCTTTGCCAATCAATCTACTAGTTTCTGGCCTAGAATAATAATAGTCTAATTGTTAATGTATGTATTCTAGTGATTAACTTTCATTGAATATAAAATTGTTTGAGTAAAAGTAATAAGAATAAAGAAATGAGGTTAAAATAATTGGGTTATTTAGCCAATGTATTGATAATCCTTAAAAACATAGAGTCATTACTTTTGTGGAAAATTAAGGATTAGGTAAGGTAGCAAATGTTACAAAACAAAGTATTTAATATTAAATGTCCTGCTCATTATAAAATAACTATAAAATACATTATAAAAAAATTAGAAGTCACTTAAACACCATTCTTATTCCCTGAACTGAAGATTGAAAAAAACTAGTTGTCCAGGCAGTCTGCTTAAAGATATAAACATTACCTGGGCTACTGTGCCCATTTAAAATGCCTGGCTTAGAAGCTATCAATGTCAATTAGGAAACAAAAAGTAGAAACACAAAAATGTAAGTCAAAAAAATATTCATTTAATTTAAAATGTTAATGTGTGAATACACCGTCTATATCAAGTGTCTAGGTTTAGGTATATAGTACCTGTGTACTATTCATATAGAGCACAAACACGAAAAAATTTTCATAAACCGTTTGTTTTGGATAACCAGAAGTATTGTTAAGACAATTTGCTCTTAAACTTTCACATTTGGTACTGAATTAAAATCTTTAATTTCTCTGAAACACTTTTATTCTCTAAGTGAGTAATTTATTCCATCATGAATATGACAAAATTTCTACTGTTAAGTGATCTTTCTGAACAGAGATTTTTGATTGTAGTGGACTTAACACATACACGTAAGGTGAGACAAAGAATGTAAAAGCAGCAAAAGTCCAAAAGAGTAGAACCCTGGAATCCCTAAAGCTATGTCTGCAGATATAATAGATGGTGTATGTGTGAGGCTATGACTGTAACTGTGGCTGCAAGTAAAAAAGGAGGAAAAGGATTATTACCTTGATCTGCTAACCTATGGACCATCTCTTTAGACTCAAGTTTAAGCTACTTCCATTCAGTATAGATTTCTACTTGCCAAGTTACCAGTAAGATAACATATTTGAAACCCTGGTACAGGTGACAAATATAGATTCAGGCAGATAGGTAACTTAGCCAGGGTCAGGCACAAGTCCCTAATGTGCATTAAATTTAATGAACAGGACCAGGATTTAAGACTAGGGGAAAATTACCATTGAGGTTTTTCCTCTTCCCTCCCTCTAACACACATTAAATGTTAGTAGAATATATCCTCTCTCTTTCTAAAAGGAAGTTAAATGATTTCAACTTGCCCAGTGTCACAAAAACTTAACTCCAGTTTCATAAAGTAGGGCAAAAAAGGAAACATCATAGTATTTTCCAAGAAACAGCATTTTCAGAAAAAGAATCAACTCCAAGTTTTAAGAAGTGAGTCACATTCAAGTAATTCAATCCCCATCCCACTCACTCAGTGGTAACGACTGCACTGACAAAAAAGTGAATACTAGGAAAAGAAGAGGTTATGATGCACACAAGTCTAGTAAAAGAACAACATCTTGATCTCTATCTAATGGCTAGGATCATGGAAATCAGATTCTAGAAACATAGACTTGTTACTGAGCTTATGAGAATTTTATTCTGTCCCACTCTCCCTATGTCTAAGAAGGGGCAGAAAGAATAAAGAAGCTGTTAAACATGTATTATTTTGCAATCAAATGTCACAGTTTACATTCTTTTAACTCTTTTATGAAGAGGGAAACTAATATATCAGTTTAATCTTTCAGTGTTACTAAATGTGAAGTTAGTTTAGTGATCAGAAGTTCAGAGATACCAGAAAACAACTGGAGAAAGTCTTTTCTTCCTCTTTCTCTTTTTATTTAATGTAATTGGCTTCAGTGGAGGGGTAAGATGGTACTTTCTGTAAATGCCCTAGGTATATTTGTCTTTTCATCAGAAGTGATAATCAAAAAAAGGGCTCAACCAACTTTATAACATTATAGAATGTCCACTAAACTCAGGGTTGGCTTAAAATAATTTTGCCACAAACTTTTTCCAACCTTGCACTGGTAAATATATAGTTTTTATCCTGCTAAATTCCAATACAGCTTTTGTCAACTGACTTTTTCATTGTCTACTAACTGCTCTTTCACTGCAAGGTTTTAATCAGACCATCACCACTATTTCTACACAGAAGCATAAGGACCAGTATTTTACACTAAGCAACAGGAAGAGTGAGAAATCTCCTGTTTACACATTTAAAAAAATTTTTTTTAGCAATAACCAGTTACTAATATGCAGGAAACAGCACCAAATGAGGCAAACTAGTTTCTTCTTAACAATGCACTGAACTTTAATTAAAAATGTAGAACATTTTAATAAAATAAATACTTCATACCTCTGAAAGGAATTTGTTCTGGCCCTGCTTTGCCTTAAATCGTTTAATCTTTTGCTGAATTCTCTTATCTTTTTCCAGATCTTCTACAGATGCCCATTGACAATGAAGGTAAGAGCTAAAAGAATAGAAAAATAGCCTTAAGACATGTAAAATAATATTATATGCATTTTATTATTTTCTTAAAATCAGCTATACAGATCATTAATGCAATATAGCCTGCTTTTATTAATCGCTTATAGAACCTGCTAAACAACATAACCACTAATATTTGGGAATATTAAATGAAAATCAGTACTAGTGTCTAAATTTTGCCTTCTGTCCTGAGCCTCCAGCTCTCTTATCCATTACCTATAAACAAAACAGAAAATAATGTAATAGCAAGTGGTGTTCATATGTGATTGGATTACATTTCAATGTAAACAATTAGCACTACAAGGTGAGCTTAATTATGAATTTATGTTCAAGTCATTAATTGAGAATAAAAAGTTTTATAAACTTAAGAAAATTCGTGTGGCCCATGGTGATTCAAACAAGGCCTATCTACTGGTCCCAATGGTACATTTAACTGAGTTCTTCTAGAGCAGTTGCAGAGGAAAGATTGGCCTTCACTGCGAGCACCTGTCCTCTCCACCAGCTCCTAATCAGATGCTGCTCTCCCAGCCTAGGTTCTGTGAGAGCTCTGAAATTAAGCCCTGTAGACCTACTATGGGGATTTTTTCACTATGCACTGTCTACCCAGTCCTTACAATAGGACCGTCTGAGTCCTTCAAATTCACCACCCATCTGCTTACTCAGGCACATGTGGAATCTTCCCTAACCATGAACCTACTCCAACATCCTTTTTTCTCCCCAAAGTCTCACAGGTACATACTTAAAGTTTTATGGTGCTTTTGACATTCTTTTGTTTGGCATTCTAATAAAATTTTATATCATCATTCTATTTTTGTCCCCAGCACCTCAATTGTCTCTTATTTCTGTTCCTAGTGATAATAGTGGAGTCCTGGTGTGGCTGGATGAGCAGTGGACTTTGAAGCACACAAGGTCAAAAGTTCAAGCCTACTAGCTTCTCTTAGAAATGCTATACAGAGGCGTTAAGAGTTGGAACCAACTCAACAACAAACAACAGTGATGACAGTAAAAAGAAATGAGATGTCTGAATAAACAATTCTTTCAAAACCAAGGTAATGCTGCTTTTAAAAACTATATAGTCATTTTATAAATTTTGCAAAAAATGATTCATGATATAAAAAGTGTTTAGGATATTGCATATACCACCATTTGTATTTATATAAAGTCTAAGCATTTTCAAAGATAATCCTGTCCTTCTAGAATTGACTGAGAAAAATAAAGAACTATATATAGTGGTAGTTTTGTGCAGTGGAGTTGGTTCCAATTCATAGCAACCCTGCACAGGGTGTCCGAGGCTGTAACTCTTTACAGAAGCAGAAAGCCTCATCTTTCTTCTGAGGAATGGCTGGTAGTTTTGAACTGCTGACCTTGAGATTAGAAGCCCAACTTGCAATTATAAAAAATAATCTCCTAATTACTGGATCAGAAAAAGGCCCATGTGCCATCAGCATCCTAATCTCAGTTGCAGTGCAAATGCCTTCAAAGCACTACTAGTGTGGATAAGGAGTCCTAGTGTGCATTAAGCACTACTAGTGTAGATAGGGAGTCCTGGTGTGGCATTGCAAGTTAATGCACTGGACTGCAAAGTCAGTTTGAACCACAAAGTTGCCATCGGAAACCCAGAAAACAGGGGTGCTATGGGTTGGAACTGACTCAACAGCACTTAGCCGCAACAACAGTGTAGGTAAGGGAGTGTAGGTATGGTGCTGTGGGTTAATGCACTGGACCACAAAATCAGTTTGAACAGCAAAGTTAGTGATTCAAGCTCACCAGCTGCTCCTTGGAAACCCTATATAGGGTCACTATGGGTCAAAACTGACTCGATGGCATTTATCAACAACAGCAGTGTGGATATGAGCTTAGACAGGTACTGATGAAAGTAGCCCAGCTCTGGTTTTCCTATAAGGCAGACTAAAATTTTCAGTCAGTGCTCCACTTTACATACGCTGATGGTAACACACCTGGAGGCTTACGGTGGGGGGAGGAAGGTAAAACAATCACAGGTGCTATGTCTTAGAAGATCATTTAGGAACGAAAACGGTCTGTGCATTTAAATATAAGAACAGTTAATAAACTGTTCAGAAAAATACTATGAAGCTAATAAGAAATAATTGGAAATTGCTGTTTGCTTTCAAAGCTGCCTGAGAGATTTCAAGATGCCACTGTTGGTTATTATGCTATACTTCAGGATTTAATTTAATTTTCAGTTTGTTTTGTTTTTAAACTCTCTTTCCCTCTCTACAGCCCTGTCCTGCCCTTTCTTGTATTTAAAACAAACAAACAAACAAAAATGTTCAGGGCCTGCTCTTCGACTGAGTATCTGTGCGCATGCATGGAAGAAAAACCCACCAGTAGTGAGGATGGGAGTGTCCACTCACTCAGACTCCCCCTCTAGTCACCAAAATGGAGGTGCACAAACAGTGGGGGGTGCCAATGAATAATGGTCACTTGGGAAAATAAAATTTTAAATAAAATTTATCTTTATGACACAAGTATAACATCTATAACTAATTCTGACAAAGACAGAAGGAAGGAGAGAAGGAAGAAAGGGGAGAAGGAGGAAGGGAAGAAAATTAAAGAGCCTATCACTTCTGCATATTGATAGAGAACTCAAATAAAATATTAACAAAAATAATTCTAGACATTTAGAAGACAATGTATCATGAGCAAGTAGGATTTACTCCAAGGTTGGTTCCAATAGGAAATCTATTAAAAAATAATACCCAACATTAATAAATCTAAGGAGAAAAATCACTCAAATATTTCTATAAACACTAAGAAAGCCTTTGAACAAATCTACTATGGTCTTTGGGAGTCCTGGTGTGGTTCTGTAGAAATAAGCATTCTAACTGCAGGCTAGGCAGTTCAAACCCACCCAACAATTGTTAAATTAGGTTCCAAGAAATGGCTGGTAGGTTTGAACTGCAGATCTTGCAGTTATCAGTCCAGTGCTTATTCTATGATCTTTTAAATATTCAGGAAAATAAGAATTGATAGGTAGTTTATTACCATCATAAAATATAGAGAACTTAGTCATAAACCCAGAATTTACTAAATGAAACATCAAAGGTTTTCCCACTTAGATCAGAAGCAAGGCAAAGATGCCTATTATCTGCACTGTCATTCGATGTTGTATTCAAAGTTTAGCCCAATGCAGTCAGAGAAAATAATGAGACATAACTGAAGAAGAAGAAGCAAAACTGCCTCTATCTTCAGATGAAATAATCATGTACCTGGTAAGCCCTAGAGAACCAATTAGAAAACAAATTCAAACAAAAAGTAATTCAAAATGCAGCACGATATAACAGTAATACACATCAACAGTCTTTATTCACACAAACAGTAACAGGTTATAAGATACAATTGTAGAGAAAAGCTTATTTGTAATACTAACAAAGATAAAATACTTTGGAATAAATTTAGTAAGAAATGTACACCTATAATGACTTTTGATTAGCAAGACTCCACACCCAAAATCATAAATTTATAAATTTAACATAATCCAAATAAAAACACAATCAACCATTTTTATGAAGCTAAACAAGTTAACACTGAACTTCATATAAAAAAATAAACATAAAAATAGCCAGGTTGAGGGGGAGAGGTTGGGGAAGGGACATTAAAAATGAAAAGGTATTAGCAGAATCTAGATTTATCAGATATTAAAATAAATCATTCAAGTTTAAGTGAGTAAAATAGTGTGGTTTGTTGTTAAGAGTTTGAGTTGTTTCCAACTCATAGAAACCTGTATAGGGTTTTAGAGGCTGTTCACCTTTGGGGAAGCAAAAGGCCTCATCTTTCTCCCATGGAGTGGCTGAAGGGCTCAAACTGCCAACCTTGTGGAATGAAGTCCAGTGATTATTCTACAGAGCTACTGCGCTCCCCCAAATAGTGTGGCACTGGCTCATAAGAGACAGATTAAAGGAAAGTATATTAATGGATGGAAACAAATAAATATATAACTTTAGTATACAATAAAGGCTGCATCTCAAATTATTGGGGCAAAGATGGAACATTTTAATAATGGTGCTGGAACACTAGATACCCATTTGGAAAAGAAAATTAGATTCATATCTTACATCATACACAAGAATAGACTCTAACTGGGGTAAACACAAAAAATGAAACCAAAAAAGTACAAGAAGAAAATATGGGCAAATTCCTCTTTAACCTGTACATAGGGAAATGTTTTTTAACTAAAGCCAGAGGAATATAGGACAGACTGATAATTTTAAATATATAAAATGCTTTTAAAAAGAACTTTTAGAACGTGAAAAAATAAACTCAAAAGACAACTGAAACTTTGAAAAGATATTTGTAACACATAAAATAGACAAAGGACAAATATCTACAAAGAACTCTTTAAAATTGAAGGAAGCACAAAAGGAAAATGAACAAAATGAATAAATAAAAAATAAGACCTAAAATGGCCATTAAAGCTTATGGAAAGACATTCAGTTTCATTCATAAAACAGAAATGCTCATTAAAACTACACTGAAGTAAAACTGTCATAAAAATTATAAAGGGGGACAAGACATTATGTTAGAGAAGGTGTGGAGAATTCAGCATTCTCACGCATTGTAGTGAGAATGCAAACTATCATGTATGCACTAACTTTTTGACCTCACAACAAAAATACAGGTGCATGCACTATAGCAACAGTAATAACCAGAATATGTGTATGGGTATATGTGAGTGTGCACACATGCATGTATAGGTGTTATCTATGGTGGTGGTGGTGGTGATGTACCATCGAGCTGGTTCACAGCAATGCTGTATAAGGTCTGAGGCTGTAAGTCTTCATGGGAACACAGTGTCTCATCTTTCTACAGAAGAGCAGCTGGTAGATTTAAACTGCTGACCTTGTGGTAAACAGTCCAGTGTATAACCCACTACACCACCAGGGTTCCTTGGTGTTGTCTATAGGCAGACAGACAGACAGACAGACAGACAGACAGACAGACAGATATAGATAGCTATATCTA